TTGTACTAGTGTGCCACTCTTGATAGTCGTAGTGTCCTATGCGTAGTATAAAATCTGTCGTACTTCTCTCCAAAAATACAAGATCCGGATCCCCGCTCGAGTTCAGAGCTCATAAGTCGAGTTCGCCCCGCGTCTAAGCCTTCAACTGCGTCACTTCGTCCCTCGCTGCGTAACCTCGAAACCTCGTCCACTGCGTTTACTCGTCGAATACCGTCTCGACGAACCCTTCGACTTCGACTATTGTCGAAGAAACTGCGAACCGCGCCCTAGCTAAGTCCACCCTATCGAATCGTGTCCCTTCCTTCTACAATACATCGAAGAGCTCTGCCGAGCTTCGATCGTCTCCGCTAACCACCCACAGCCTCCGAGTAGCTTCGACGACGTGTCGAAGCCACCTCGTACCTTCCCCATTGTTCGTAGCCTTTTCCAAGGGCGTTTCTCATGTTCACTCGAACCGCGGGACACCTTGCTGCTAACTCCCCTCTCACTAAGACTATAATCCGTCTCTCTAGTCCCTTTAGGTCGCACCCAGGTTAGGGGTTAGGGTTTCGTAGGTCGTATCACCGGGGCCCCATGATGCTTGAACACATCGCGGATGTACAGATCTGCCACACCTTCTGCCGTCAGGGTCTCATGACAGGCCGAGAAGTGGACCTGCTTGGTAAAGCGGTCGGTGGTAACCAGGATCAAGTCGAATCCATCAGACTTCGGCAAGCCAACGATCATATCCGTGGTGATGATCTGCCATGGGCGCTCGGGGATCTCGTTCGGCTTCAGCGGACCCTGGGGCTTGGCTGGGAATGTCTTGGTACGGTTGCACACGTCGCAGGTGCTTACGTACTCATTGATGAATTTGGACATCCCAGGCCACCAGTAGTTCCGCGACACGAGCTCGAGGGTTTTGGCACGACCACCATGTCCGGCGATCGGCGAGTCGTGGTGGATCTTGACAATATCCCGCCGGAGCTCCGCGTTCTTTGGGACATAGACCATCCCGCGGAACAGCAGAAGCCCTTGCTCGGCATTCCACTCCTCAAAGCCTTTCTGCAGCCGAGGCGGTCCGAGGTTCTGCACTTTTTCAAGTGCCTCAGCCACAACCCGATCCTTATCCGAACACTCCCTGATGCGCTTCAGAAGCGACTGATCGGCCGTCACCGAGGCATGACCGCGTTGAGCGGAGGCGATGCGGAACCTTTCAGGTCTGAGAACCACCTGATCGGTGTTATCGTCCTCATCGCCGACCTGATGGTCTGATCGGCGTGACAGGGCATCAGCCTTTCCATTTGACGTTCCAGCCTTATGCGTGATGCGGAAGTCGAAGCGAGCCAGGAACAGTGACCATCGCGCTTGACGACGTGTGAGGTGCTGGGACATGCGCCAGTATTCGAGGTTTTTGTGATCAGTGACGATCTCGAACTGATTGGGCAATCCCTCGAGATAGTGGCGCCAATCTTCCAGTGCTTCAATGATCGCAAGCATCTCCTTGTCGTAGATCTCGTAGTTACGCTGGGCAGGGTCCATGGTGTGAGACCGGAAGGCGATAGGATGCCATTTGCCGTCGTCCTGCTTCTGCATCAATACGCCGCCAGTGGCGTAGCCTGAGGCATCAACCTCAATGCGCGTCTCTCGATTTGGGTCATACAGCGCCAAGACCGGAGTTGTCGCAAAAAGCCGTTTGAGTTCATCAAAGGCGTGCTGCTCCTCTTCACCCCAATGCCATGGGTCGTTCCCTGTGAGTCGGTCGAGTGGTCGCGAGATCTTAGCGAAGTCCTTAATGAAGCGGCGGTAGAAGTTGGAAAACCCCCGGAACTTCTGGACATTTTTTTTGTTCCGGGGTACAGGCCACTCATTGATTCCTTTCAACTTCGCGGGATCCATTGCTACCTCATTGCCACCGAACATATAGCCGACGTAGTCGACCTTGGGAACATCCCATTCGCACTTCTCAGGCTTCAGGAATAGATCGTTATCCTGAAGGCGGCGCAGAACCTCGCGTGTGACCTTCTCATGCTCCTCCTTGTTGGTAGAGAAGACAAGTATATCGTCCAGGTACACGAGGACCTTGCCGCCGACGATGAGATCATGGAAGATCTCGTTCATCATCACCTGGAAGGTTGCGGGGGAGTTGGTGAGACCGAAGAACATCACCAAGGGCTCGTACAACCCTCGGTTGGTCACAAAGGCCGCTTTCCATTCGTCACCGGCTTTGATCCGGACATTGTTGTACCCCCACCGGACATCGAACTTTGTAAAGAGCGTGGCACCGCGGAGCTTATCTACCATCTCGGCGATCAGCGGCAAAGGGTAACGATTTTTTACCGTGATCGCGTTCAATCGACGGTAGTCTTGTACGGGTCGAAGCGTCCCTTCCTTTTTTTTGATGAAGAAGAAGGGGGACGAGATGGGCGACTTCGATTCCCGTATGTAACCCTTCACCAGCTGCTCATTTAGGAATTTGTCAAGCTCCTCCTGCTCATTGTTCGACAGGGGGTACACCTTCGAATGGAACGTCGAGTAGCCAGGCACGAGTTCGATCGCATGATCGTACGGCTTCCTTTCGGGTAGCCATTCTGATGCCTCTTTGGAGAAGACATTCAGGAACTCGTGGTACTGTTTAGGTACCGACTCCTCGGCGGTCTTAACGACCTTCTTCTTGATCTCTTCCTCAGCGAACAACTGGAAGTACGTATGCCCAGCTGCGACGAACAGCTGAGGAGCGCCAGGAAGCGTAATACCTTGCTCCCAGGCCTCGATCAAGTCAGCTTCGTCCCACTCTACTTCCACCGGATCTTTTTCGGGTTCAAAGTCCGGGAGCACCTTACTCCGGCAGGCGCCTATGACCAACCGTTTGGACTTCGGCGAACGCCTGCGCGCTGTGGGCCTGACCCCCGTATCACGCGCAGTCGCTGCTTGCTCCATCCGGCCAGCCCTCCTGGCCCTGCACATTTCAGGACATCGTGATAGTTTAAGGGAGCCTTTCTCCCAATCAATCTCGGGGTTGTGCTCGCGTAGCCAATCCAACCCAACGATCACATCCTCGGGACCAATGTCCGTGACCGTAAACACTGTCTTCTCGACATGCTCTCCTATCTGCATCTGTAGCACCGCTACTTCCGAGATGCTTCCGTCCTTATTCAGGGTGCTGTCGATATTATAGAGTGGAATGGGCTCCTTTAGCCTCCGCGTCTGCACCTTATTTTCTACGATAAATCGCTTGTTGATAAACTTCGTGGTGGCTCCGCTGTCCACCATGGCGATTATGTCCTTGTGCCGTCTTTTCCCTTGGAGTCGAACTGGAATGTGAAAGTGCTGGGACCCTTGGTCCAACTCGTACACCATTGCAGAAGACAATACATCGTACTTATTACATGATACTCGCGGCCCAACGCGTGCGGCACGAAGCGTGGACCGGATCAAAAACCCTCCTCCTTCATTGCCCGATAATGTTCGAGCTCCTTGCGCATCGACTTCACCTGTGCCATTAAGTCCGCCAGCTCCAATTGCTCGGATTTCGCTGAAGCGGCACTTATCGTTGCCGAGGGTGATGTCGTGACGGGGGCGCTTGTCGCGGCCTGGGAGGAACCTGAGGCAACCGTAGCCCGCGCGTCGGCGCGTTTTGTGTAAGGCTTGTCCTTACAATTGGGGCACTCGAAGTGTCGGTACCCTTGTTTCCCACAGCCAAAGCAAGTGCCGGGGAAGTTTCCTTTTCCGACGGCCGCATTGATGCTGGCCGAAGCTCCGTGTGACTGGGGTGCACCACCACGTGCCCCACCGCATCCTCGACCTCGAGCCGAGAAGAAGTTGTTCAACTCGGGCCGTCGGGCCCGACTGATGTCGAGGATCTGCTCGACCTCCGTGGCGTGCTTGTCAGCGTCTTCCCACATAGCGAACGTCTCGAGCTCGATTTTGCGGTAGACGCGGGAGGGGATGCCGCTCAGGTACTTGTCGCATAGTTCCAGGTCCCCATACCCGGAACGGTCCGCCGGACCTTTGAACAGTGTGGAGAACTCCGCAGCAGTGCGTTTTTCGCGGACCGACTTGTCCGCGCAGAGTTTGGCCAGTTCTACCTGGGCCACTGCCTCATCATCGAGGTTGCCGAAGCGGGCTTTGAAGGCCGTGGCAAAGGCCGCCTCATTGGCAAAGGGGGTCGTTACTCCCTGCACACCGAGTTGCACTGATACGAGCTGGGCGAAGTAAGGAGTGGCCCAGGTGCGGGCATCGCCATCGAGCAGGCTTAGTGCAACCTGCACTTTAAGTTCGATGGTGGTTAACGATGTGTTAACCAGCCAGTAGATGCGAAGTTGCGACAGAAACCTGTCGCACTCGATGACGGTCTTGCCATCGTATCGGAGCGGGAGGAGGAGTTTTAGGGTGTCCTTATCAGGGGGGGATGCTGGTGAGGACATTACCAGCGACGAGGGGGACGGAGGACTGCCCGCGGGCGAAGACGGCTGTTGTGACTGTCCGCCGGGCGAACTTCGAGAGGAGCGAGTGCTCGAGCGGCCTCGCGGCGGCGACGGCGGTGGAGGCAACGGAGGAAGTCCGGTGGCGGGGTGACGTATGACAGGGACTGGAGTCGAGGACGAGATTGCTGACGAGCTGGCCCAAGTAACCGCTGGACTGTTGCGGGGCTCAGGCTTCGGGTTCCTTTCCAACCGTGACCCCAAGGAGGACTGGGGGATTGTTTGAGGGGTCGCTGTAGACTGTGCGACTGCCTCAACTCCTCGAGGGAGACTGGGATCTCCTCATGCTTGACCTGTACTGGTGACAGGTTGGGGAATGCGGGTGCTTGGGGAGGCAGGTCGGGAAGGGACGGGAGTGATGTGGCGAGATGTGGATCTCGAGGTGCCAGTGTATCGAAGTGCCGGGCCGCGGGGGTGCTGGACTCGTCGGATTGGCACGTAGCGCCCTTCGTCGGTAGTGATGGACCGCGGAGTACGATTAGGGCACGGTTGTCGATCACAGATGAAGAAGGGAGCTTGATTCCCGTCGCTTTCGGGGTCATCGCGGGAGACGTCGATTTGCTCCTGGGTGTCGAAGGCGTGCTCAAGTCGAGAGCAGTCGAAGAATTCGTCAGCCACGGTGATGGGGGGAGGAAGGGGAGGTGCGCGTGCTACGAAAGGCCGTGCTAGACTAGCTTACACCTACGGCGCCCGAGGTGACACTAGGGTTCGCAGTTCACGTGGGGCCCAGTACTGCTTTTGGCTAGTATGCAGCAGGAACCTAATCCACGTGTCCGTGAGGACAAGTACCGCCCACTAAAGTGCAGGTACTGAAGAGTTCGTCCCCTAAGTGGTGGCGATGTATCGTATGTTATCTACGTATCGTAGGGTATAGTAAGGGTGCACACCACCCAACCTATAGGAAGTGTTAAAGTGAGTGTTGGGGTTCCAAGGAACGCCGGCAGCTATGGGGAGTTTCGACCTAATGTCGCGACTTGAGGTCAAGCGACAGGGGAAAACCTAAAAGCTGGGGGCGTCCGACTAGATCTCACCGAAGCGATGGTGAGCAATGCTCAAACCTAAAGCTAGGGACAAGTAAGTTAGCATAGGAAAGTAAGTATGTACAGGGGCTTACTGACCTAGGGACAAGAGGTCGAAACTGAGGTCCCTAGGCCAGCAGAGGCAGGCTTATATACAGGGGAAGTTTAGGGGAGGCTGTGTGCACTGGTCCGTGCACAGCTGGTCCGTGCGCAGCATGCTGACGCGGCCCCGGGGGCCGGTGAGTCAGAGAGGCTGTGTCAGCAGAGCCTGAGCTGTGCCGCGCACTGCCGCCCATCTAATCTAATCATACAGTAGATAGCGACGCGTCCATATCAGGCATGTAGTACAGAGGTCGCGGGTTCGAGTCCGCGAAAAGGAAAAATTAAAAAACGGCTAGACGCCGTACCAACTCGTGACAGAAGCTGCAGGCGATGCGGATCGTCTCGACACTGGGTACGGGACTGTCCGGACGTACGATGCGCAGGATGCGGAAAAGAAGCCCCTGGACACCTGGAGCGAGAGTGCGGAACCAGGCCGATGAAGCGACACGTATCCGCACCACCTGAAGAACCTGCGCGACGCGTGGGGGTGGTCGTCGACAATGTGTTCCTCGAAGGAATCATCAACGAGGCGAAGGAGAGGAAGGAGAAAGAAAGGCAGACGAAAGCGATACCCATCCCTCCACCGCGTAGCGCTAACCCCGAACCCCCCGCCAGTCCCGTCGCGGGACCCTCGCGCCCCTGCCCCGATACACCCGTCGTCTTTCGCAAAGTCGACCCCGACTGGACACCCGACACCACTCAATGGACGTGGGACAGCTCCTGGCCGCATCAGAAGCACCTCTCTGGTGAGGAATGGAAGAATGTAGGGAGGAACGCGCGCAAGGAGTGGTTCGACGAAGAGGAGGACGACAGCGTAGATTGGGAGTTGTATGGAGATGGTGAGCAGTAAGTAGTCGAATGGGACTTCGACTCTGGCAGGGGGGTAATGAAACATTTGTCTTTCCGTTCTATTCCTTGTACTACTAGCGCCCATACTGGCGCCTGTCTTAGCGCTCACCCGCAGGTTGAACATTATGTAGCTTACATAATGGGGTCCGTGCGCACTTCGTACTCGGCATCGTACCACTATGTTTCTTTCTTCACTAACACGACCACATAGACACGATGGTCCATGCGCAGTCGGTACTTGTATAAGTAGTTGTACCATTAGTCGGTTGAACCCTAAATTCGACCTGGTTATTCATTCAAGTCTCTGCTCCTCCTCGCTTGGGGTAGTGGTCATTCTCGACTTCCTTGCTTGATCTTCAGGACGACGCACTGTCCATAAGCCCTCGCTCGTCGTCTACGAGTCAGGCATTGATATAGGAGTATAGACCGTTGTATCACATGGTGGGTGAGATTGTCTTGCTCCTATGGCTGAATGTGACTGTAGTTTAGACTCCGCTTGGCACATTGCACAGATGTGTTTGCAAGACCATGCTCATCTTGCTGCTAGCGGGCATTGCCACATCAGAGTGTGAACTTGTCACCGTGACATGCCATGACGATTTGAGCAACTCTATGCCTATATTACACCCTCAAAATGAGTCGTTCTCGCAGATTCATGCCAGTACAAGTAATACTCATTGTATTGCACTGAAAATATTCACAGGTGTGAAGAAGATCTCAATGCATCTATTTACACAAGAATCATGAAAAAAAGTGCAGTGCTTCACATCAGGAAACCACCACTCCAGCTTGGGCAGGCTTACTAAGCTTAAAGGTCTTAATTAAAACAAAATAAGGCAGAATGCATCCTTAATTCTGTCTTAAGTTACTCTTGATTGCGCTTTGTCTGCTTAGTTAAGCTAATCAATCCCTATAAGGCAGCTAAGATAGGTCCAAGCTGGAGTGGTGGTTTACTGATGCATGAACCCAAGGCTTGTGAATGCAGCCATGAGCAACTTTATACACCCCATAGTAATACTCCTGCTGAGTCTGTGGTGCACTGCCATTCAGAACCAGCGAGCGGAGCCACCATCATCAACTGAGTTGCTTAATCCAGGAGAAAAAAGGCAGTAGCTACCAGTCTGTCACATCTGGTAATGATGACACTGACTTACCTCCAGTATGTAAAGCTGGCAACAATAACATATTTACAATAACCTGTTGTATAGAACAACACTGAGATGGTATCAACATCTAGTGCTGCATTATCTCCTCCAGACAGTCATGGTGGTACCTATCCCTCAGCTCCCTCAATATCTCGCGCAACCCATCACCCTCCATCACGGACATGAGATTCATGAGTGACAACCCAAGCCTATGGTCTGTTACACGATCCTAGAATGTACAGTTAGAAGCGCTCCTTGTGTCAGATCAGGGCCCTCATACCTGGGCGTAGTTGTATGTTCTGATCTTCTCGCTTCGATCGGCACTCCGAACAAGATCACGCCTAACGGCACGCCGCTCGACTACTTCCTGGCTCAGCTTGCGGTCCATTAGGCGTGCGCGTAGTACTTGGAAGGCGCGACGTCGATTCTATGATCATGACTGAATGATTAAGATTGTGAGGATATGTAATCAAGCATACCTGATGCTGACTCCGCTCGTCTTGCATAGACACAGTGATACCGGTAGGCAAATGCGTCAGACGTACAGCCGACTCTGTTTTGTTGACATGCTGCAGAATCTTTCAACTTCATGTTGTCAGAATGCGGCTGGTCGGTCTTACCTGCCCTCCAGCTCCTCTAGAGCGCATGACCTCTATCTTCACCTCGTCAGGCGAAAACAGATCGCCTTGTCCTGAATGCGAGTCTGTCTCCTCTGAAAGAGGCAGCACCTGGAGCAAGATATAAGGGCACATACTCGTCACCTAAAACCGATGGACGCACCACGACCGCGACCGTACTCGTATGCACCCGCCCGTTTGCTTCTGTCGCCGGGACGCGCTGCACGCGGTGAACCCCGCTCTCCCAACGTAGCGCGTCATACGTTCCCTCGCCCTTCACTTCCAGAATGGCATCCTTCATTCCCCCGTTATCCAGCTCGTTGCTGCCGACCAGCGCAGCCTTCCAGCCCATCGCGTTCGCGACGCGCGTGTACATCCGCACGAGGTCGCCGAGAAAGAGCGACGCCTCCGAGCCGCCGACGCCCGTCTTGAGTTCGACGAGCGCGGCGAGGTGCGCGGTGGCCGACGGCGGGACGAGCAGCCGCGGGAACGTGTTGTTCAGGAGGTCAGACAGAGCTGTGGTGAGCGCGGCGTGCTCCTCCACGGCAAGCGCGCGCATATTGGGATCGGCGTCATTCAGGAGCGGCAGGGTCTCTTGCAACGACTACTGTTGCATCCGCATGAGAAAATAGGGCCGAGGGGCTGCACGAGCACGTACCTCTCTGCTGCGTGCCCACTCCCGCCATGCGCCCTCGAGGGGTTCCAGTTCCTTGATTTGCTTCGCCAATGAGACATCCTCTGCGCGCGAGTAATCCTCAGATAGCTGAGCAGATTACCTCAGCCTGGTATATCTTGCCGCGCATGGTGTACTTACCTGTGACACCAATTTATTTCGCTCATCGACCTTGCGCTTGACGTACTTCAAAATGGGGGCATTGTCGAGTTTGGCGGCAGACTCATTCTGCAAAGCGTCCAGGTGTTGATTACGCAGAGAGACACATCGTGGTGGTCTGATGCGTGGAATGAACCGTAGGCGACTGAGCATGAGTCTCCTGAGTCTCGTCGGAAACAGCGAACTATTTTGGCGCCAAACACGGTGATCGACATCACGCATAATTATTCACGTGCTTCGGGACAAATGGACCAATAGGGAACTCAGTACCTATAAAGTAGTCGACACACTGCACATTGCCTTCAGGGACATTATTGCTGACGGCCAGTATGTCCGACACATACGGCAAATACATTACTTGAACTACATCGGGGAGCAAGCACCGAGTGACACACGAGCACGCACAGCTCATACACGCACAAGCACACCCATGTATATAACTTGCGTGACAGCGACTAGGAAGAGGAATGTAATCCGCCGTGAACGCTGCGAGGGGTTGTTGACCGGCGCTGCTGTCGCCGAAGCGTCGGGCAGCACCAGTGACCGCAATGAGCGCAGCTACTCGACGCCATTAATCAATTGCGGTGAACAGCAATGGCAGAGATCGCGTACCAGGAAGAACCCAGTTGCCAGGAAGGAGTACGTGAAGATCAGAGTATACACTGTCCACCCTACTTTCATAAGACCGAACATCAGTGTCACGATCACTCTGCAAGTTGACAGTATTAGATGAGACGGGGTAGAACGGCGGAGCATCGCACCCTACAAACTTGTAGCCGCCGTAGGCGAGTAGATCTAATACTTGGTTGATTCCACCCTGGGATACAAAAATGAGCCGTCATACACGGTGAGCATGACTCAGGTGCTGACCGGTATGTTCAGGAAATAGCAGCCTAGCTTCACAAACAAGAAGTCAAGCAGCACTACAGCAAGAGCCTTTGAAGCCGTCACGCCGAGAATCTCTGGATGGAACCGTGAGTCTAGACCAGAGTAAAGCGCGGCAAGCAAGATGTAAGTGACAAGCGCCATGACTGGATTGATACATTGTCAGGATTGGCGGTGCGCAGACGCTCTGGTACATACGTGGAATGTACAAGTCAGGCGCATTGAGGTCATCTCGCGGGGGCTGCCACTCTGTCTGGCCGTTCTCTGATCGATGCATGCGGCGCGACCAAGGCTTATGCCGCCATGGGAAGAGCAGCAAACGCAATTTGTTCATAACGTACGAGTTTGAGACATTGAAGTGGTGCTTCAAGACAGAGATTGGGATGAGGCCTCCGAGCTACACATATGTGCTGTGAGTGCCGTGACACAGGGCGGGGATGAGCGCGTGCATACGTTCTTTTGGACGTAGTCCTGGCCAGCGGCGACGGCACTCTGGCCAAGCTGCATGCCAAACTGCGCGGTGGCATCGTTGATGCCCCATGCGGAAAAGTCGACTGGCACGTTTGGCACGTTCACGCCGGGCTGGCCATGCGTGGACAGATGGCGGGGTGGTGAGTTCATTGGCTGGTACTGGCCTGCGTAATTGGGAGGTACGCGACTGCCCGAGCCAAGCGGTGGTGCAGGGGGCTGTTGAGCAGGCGGTGAACTGACGTAGCGTTGGTAGCCCTGGGGAGAGACGGGGGTGGATGGCGGTTCGGGGATGTAGGCAGGATGGGTGGGCACCGGGTGTTGCAGAGGCGGAGGGCTCCTGTTGTTCGGAAAGTAGGACATTTGCGGTTCTATACCGTACAGAAGGGGCAACAGCAGTGGCTGCGGGAGCTGAACGTTGCGCAATGAAGTGAAGACACGAGCACGCAGCGGGCACAGCGCGCGGCTATTGCCCACGTGGAGAAGAAGGTTGATCGTGCGCTGGCAGGATAGATAAAAGAGGAAAGCGCGGCTTTGGCAAGTACCCATGTCTGCGTCCGTCGCGTCCAGCATGTCCTCCTACTCCGTCAAGGTCACGAAGACTCCCGCAATAAAAAATGCTCCCTTGATTGGCCTGGCTGAAGGGAATGGCTCCTTCAGTAACTACCACCTTGCCGGCCTCGTCATCGTCGTGCCATGGCTCGTCAAGCGCATCCTGCCCCTCTTCAACCGCGGTGGATTCAAGACATACCTGTTCCTAGTCGTCATCCTCGGTCTCCCCATTACCATGGCCTACTGGACGCTCATGAGCACATATGGTCCGCGCAAGAACACAAAGGTCCAGCTCCCCGGCAGGAACATTGAGGAATATTTCACGATCAAGGACGAAGCCCTCAAGGCCAAATATCACGGCAAGGAGAAAATCCCCATGCAAGAATTCCATGACGCGTATTTCGACGACAAGATTGACTTCAATGGTCTGTCCCGTCTAGAAACGCGTTCCGCAGCATGTTTTGACGCGTCTTTCCCGCAGGCGACGTACTTGACATCATGGAGCAGCGTCATGACTGGGCAAAGATGACTTTCACGTGGACTCTCTTCAAATACGTCTTCACCGTACTTGTTCCCGACGTGATTATGCACGCGAAGAGTCAGGACGAAGAGCAAGTCCGTGGACATTACGACCGTACGTCTTTGACGTGCTCCTTTGAGGTGGTATAGTCTATAACATGTCTCCCATGCAGGAGGTGATGACTTCTATGAATGGTCAGTTACGTGTTCCAGACACGATGCGGTTAATCTAACGCGCGTAAACATGGCAGGTTCCTTGGACCACGTATGGTGTATACCTCCGGCGTCGTCCTCTCTTTAACGGAGGAGGAATCGCTCGAAGAGTTGCAGGACAACAAGTTGACCATCGTTTGTGAAAAGGTTATCTCCACACCTTTAACGTGATAACATTGTCCTAACGCTTCGTCCAGCTTGATCTCCAACCAGATGATCGTCTCCTGGATGTCGGCTGCGGATGGGGTACACTCTGTGCTTTCGCAGCAAAGAACTACGGGTGTGAGGTGACTGGTGTTACTCTCGGACGCAACCAGACCAAATTCGGCAACGCTCGTATCCAGGAGAACGTGCGCTGACCTCTTTCCCTACCTCGTTTCTCACTGAGTATGCCCTGTAGGGTGGTGACCCGTCGCGTCACCGCATTCTCTGCATGGACTACCGTGACATCCCCGGTGGGCGCAGCGCATACACCAAGATTGTCAGTCTCGAGATGGCCGAGGTATGATAAAGAGCTTGTAGTTGTGCGCTGCCTACCCTTACGCGTCTCACGCCGGCAGCACGTCGGAATCCGCCGCTACCAAACCTTCCTGCGCCAGATGTACGATCTCCTAGACGACGACGGTATCTTCGTCTTCCAGGTGGCTGGTATCCGTCCTTCATGGCAGTATGAGGACCTTATTTGGTGAATTCCATTGATGAATTTGGCGTGTGAATGCTTCTGATCCTGCCACCTTCAGGGGTCTCTTCATGAACAAGTACATTTTCCCTGGCGCCGACGCGTCGTGCTCGCTCGGCTGGGTCATAAACCAGGTCGAGGCTGCCGGCTTCGAGGTGAAGAACATTGACGTGCTTGGCGTGCACTACAGCGCGACGATCTGGCGGTGGTACCGTAACTGGGTCTCAAACAAGGACAAGGTCATCGAGTCGTATGGCGAACGGTATGTCCGCGTGCATGCTTCGGCCATGTTACTTCCAACTCACAGCCGAGTCAGGTGGTACAGGATCTGGGTCTTCTTCCTTGCGTATTCGACTATTACCAGCCGGTGAGTAAAGTGGGTGTCAGATATTGTGTGCCCACGTTGAAGGTGCTGTCTTGCAGTAACGGCGGCGCGTCCGTGTTCCAGTTGACGCTGCACAAGAACTTGAACGCATACCCACGTATCCTGGGTGTCCCAAGCCACTCTTCGATTCACGTCCACCCTAGCAGGGAGATCTCGTGAGTATTCCAAGGGCCTCAATGTATGATAGTGCTCACACCTTTATCACGTAGACCTGCCATTTGAGGTAACGACCGCTATCATGGTCGCTGCCAAAATTATCTTAGGGATTGCTGCTGATGTCAACTACTGCTTTATCTATCTTGGGGTGCATCATAACCCTGTATGTCCGAGTCAGATTGCTTGAGATGCTCTCGTCATACCAAGACATCTTCAATATACGTCTTCAGACTCGTCCTATTGTTCGAGGTGTATTACTGGTACGGTGAGTATCATGTCAACCTGAGGCGTATTAAGATGGAACATAAATATAAATATAAAAGCTACACGTATACAGATTGTTTAGTATACAGGATCCGTGAGAAGTGGTCTGCTGAGCTGTTCGGATTTCCGCCCGGTGCAGTATGACAGGCAAATTCTGTCAGACAAGCTGGAACCCTCCAAAGTCCAGAAATGCTTCTTCAATGGACATCTTCCGCACCACGAGGGCCTCCACGATGAGGCGCGATGCCCCCGGGCCAGCACCAAGCTGTATATTCGGAGGCTTGCCGTCTTCAGTGGTGGTCTCCCCATCTATTGAGCTAAATGTTGAAGGCACCGATGCTACTGCTGCCTCAACATGCAATGCTTCCAGCCCACACGCCAACTGATCCTCGTCCACGAGGCTACCTATGCACGAATCCGCGCCCATAACAGGCTCCGCTGCGTATTCTACCGACGGCGCATCAGTGGACCCACCCTGCGCCGCTTGGTACGCCCGTCGCTTGTCCTCACGTCTGCGGTCGCGCGCAAGCCGACGTTGCGCCGCCTTGGAGTCTAGCTTGCCCAGCGCCGCCGTGACATTGCCCTCGCTCTCGGGTGGCGTATGCCAGGGTTGCGTCTTCTTCTCCTTCTCCTTGTACTTCTGGCGCCGTGCGTGCTTACCGTGGAGCACTGCAGCAGGGGTAGCGGCAGGCAAAGCATGTGTGCGTCTGCGCATCGGCCGCGGCTTGTACACTGACGCAATTTCGAGGTCGACGGAGAACGCGGGGACGAGCGCGGGCGCATCGTCAGCAGCAGTAGAAGTGAAGATGTGTGGCGGCTCAGGCTCCATGGGAAATAGCGCGAGGTCGTCATCCAGCGGGGAAATGAACGGTGAAGACTGCGTTGAAAGTCGACCCGGGTGCGATGTGACGCGGTGTGCGAAAGGTTGGCAGCGTACGTTATGCTGAGACACGTGCGGGTCATCGGCGGGTGTACCGACTGACGGGGTGTCATCAAAGTCCCCGTCCGTGAAGTCGGTCTCGGTCTCGGTCGCGGTTGTCGTGGCATCCTCCTCGCCGCTGCCGCCTGCGCCGGGTGAGACCATGCGGCGCTTCATCTTGCGTGTCCAGCCGCCGGTGACGGGGTCGAGGAGCCGCGCAGCGTCATCGGCGAGAGTATACATGGCGGGCGGGACCTCAATCTCCTTCACGACAATAACGGACGCGCCGATCTCGCCGGCCATCATCTCGAGGGTTTCGAGTGACTGCTCGAGGTCAGCGCGTGAGAGGCCGATGAGCGCGCCCGAGTCAGCGACGCCGAGCTCATAGTATGCTTGGCCGCCGCCTTCAAGGAGACGCCACTTGAGTTGCGTGACGAGCCGAGCGAAGCGTGCGGGCGATATATTCGTCAGCTTGAGCTTGTACTCGACATTTCCCTGTAGACAGTGTTAGATGGGTAGACAGCGGAGCGATGCGCCAGCTGCCGACTAGACGTCTCACATGCCGGAGGAGACTACTCGGAGAGTGGAACATCACTGTATAGAATGAGACATACCTCCTCAGCCTCGGGGACAAGCTTGGGCACACTGCGACTGATCTGCTTCGCCGAGTCGACAGAGGACTCGTTGGGAAGAAAGTGATCCCAAGGGCTCGGAACGCGGGGGCTTTCTGATTCGTGCTCTCCAAACATAGATACAAGGATGTTTAGTCGTTATATATTCGAGTTATCATGGTAGGGACTACAGTCGCAGGAGAGCAAAGTAGAGTGCCAGGAAGCGCGGAGCGAGCAGTCATAAAGCAACTACACGCGCTCGAGTCAGCCATCTTATCTTATCTAACGTGCCGTATGCACGTGACTATCGCGTTGGTGGCCCGCACACGCGCGAAGGTTGTCGCTCGCGCTGTTTTGCAAGCGCTGTCTTAGTGCATGCACGCCTCTTCATTGCATCTTTTGTGAAGGCCGCTCCTCTCACAGGCTCTTCTATCGTATACCCGCATTCATCTTTGCAACGGTTAATGTCATACTCGCTGTTCTTTCACGCCTTGGATGATCCGGACGATGGCGGGCCTGGATTGCCTCCGGGGACACCACCTACTTGTAAGAGTGTCATCATGCAATTATCGAAAAGTACTGATGATTGATTCCCTCGTATCAAGATAAATTTGAAGGTCCTTGGTTCACGACACAACTGGGCCTTTCCATCACAATCGGCTTAACGTCTTTCCTACTATTCTGCTACTGCCGGACTAGGTGGCCTTTGATGTTCGCACCTCGAACGAAGCTCAAAGGTAATCAATGACCTTGAAAATCTTAAACTCTGCGCTGATCCTCACCTCGAGCCTTCTCGCCCCACGAGGCCCATGCTCATCAGGCATTTTTTGGATGGATTCTGCCGACTCTTCGCACCTCAGAATTCTCCGTATTACAAATCGTAGGACTTGATGCTGCGATGGTGAGCCTGGATACTGGTCCTATTCTTTGTAAAATATAACACGAATTCTAGCTTCTCAATTTTTTCAAAATGTCATTCTGGCTCTTCTCAGTTTGCTCCATATTTGCAGTAACGATGCTCATGCCAATCAACTTGAAGGTGTGTGGACTAGCTCTGTTCACTCTGTGGTGTCACATTGACCTCTGTTCCCTTTAGAATAACGTCGATATCGGCGATGGAAGGACTGATAGCAATAACACTGACTGGAGCACGACTGCGAACCCTACTCCCACTAACTCGACCGGTTATGATTGGCTCGACCTGATCAGCGATGCCAACTCATATTTATCTGTTCATCTACTTTTCACTTACATCTTCACCCTTCTCGCCCTATACTTCATTCAAGACAACTACCAGAAGTTCATCCGTGCCCGGCAGCTTTATTCACTCGAACTCGTACACTCTATTCCCGCCCGTACCGTGATGGTGACACATCTTCCTGAGTATCTACGAGGCGAGCGAGCTCTCGCAGAGTACTTCGAGAGCATGGGCTTGAGCGTAGAGAGCGTCAGCGTATGCAGAGAGGTAGGCGCCCTCAAGCGATTCCTCGACATGCGTACGGCCGCTCTGCTTCGGTTGGAGTCCGCTTGGACGCGGTATGTCCGAAATCCAAGCACCGTAGATGTACAGCCCCCTCTACAGCAACAGCAAGACCGGTCGCCGCTCATCGACGTCAATGTCGACGACCGGGATGCCGAGGCATCGCCACAGCTGACTACGGTGCCTAATCGGCCACGACCCACCCTTCGCACCAAGTGGTTTGGTCGAAAAGTGGATGCCCTCGAATACCTGCAGCAGGAGTTCGAAAAGGCGGACGAACAGGTGAAGACAAGGAGGAAAAACGGACGGTTCAGGGCGACTCATTCGGCTTTTGTAACCTTCGAAAATATGTCTAGCGCAGTAAGTGAGGAAGTGGTATTGCATACGCACAAAGTTGATGGTTGTGATTGTGAACAGCAAATGGCTGCTCAGGTCGCACATGCTCCCACCCCTCAGCAATGCCTCACGTCGCTCGCGCCTGAACCGCGCGATATCGTCTGGTCAAACGTGACACATTCTCCCATGACACTGCGCGTCCGTGAATGGATGGTGATGTGCGCCATGGGCCTTCTTCTGTTTTTCTGGCTTGTACCTACGTCAGCTCTGGCGACGTTGCTCAGCTTCAAGGAGATCAAGAAGATTTGGCCTCAGCTTGGCGAATTAATCGACGCAAATCCACGGGTCCGAGCCATAGTGCAGAACTCTCTCCCATCCGTCGCGATCATGTCTTTAAATGCAGTCTTGCCGTTCGTTCTGGAAGGTATACTGCATTGTTTGAGACGTCACTAAACACAATGTTTACGTCAGCTTGTCACAGGCCTCACGTATTTTCAAGGCTATCCTGCGCGGAGTTGGATCGAGTACTCTTTGCTCCGGAAGTGAGTGGATATCGCGCGTGTCATGGTCTCCCGCTAAGCGGCCGAATGATCCAGATACTTCCTGTTCCTACTAGTGAACGTAGTCTTCATTTTTCTGGTGGCGAGTACGTACTGGCAGCTTGTTCGCGATCTCGCCAGCTCGCCAGCCAAGGGTGTCGAGAAACTGGCCGATGCTCTGGCGGCCGGTAAAGCAAGGTGAGGAGCCTGTGGTATTAGGTATGAATGAATAGTTGAATTCTGGGATAGACATTTCTTCTTGTCATACGTGATCTTGCAAGGTGCGTAGCTACGGGTTGATTGCATGTGCCTGTGCTGACACATATCAGGCCTTGGTATCATGCCATTACAGCTCCTGTCTCTCGGTGTCATGATCCCCCGCATAATATATCGCATATTCCTCACGCGGACACCAAGAGGTAATATTCATGTCAGATTCACGTCGTTTGACTGACCGTGGTTCCAGATTTTGCTGAGTTGAATGCACCACCGATGATCAACTATGGCGTCGTGTATCCTCAAGCTATATTGATCTTCGTGATCACACTACTCTACAGCGTCATCCAACCTCTAATCCTAATCTTCGGAGCTCTCTACTTCGGAGTAGCCTACGTGGTTTACAAGTATAAGCTGCTCTTTGGTGCGAGCGACTGTTTTTCGTCAAGGATGTGGTACTGACAAGGCATGGTTGACAGTGTTCTACAAACCGTATGAGTCCCAAGGTCAGGCATGGCCAATCACATTCGCTCGCCTGATATGGGGTGTCATTATCTTCATCGTCTTCATGATGGGCATCTTCATATTGAAGAAAAGCTTTGTTCTATCGACACTGCTCGTACCTCTACTGGCTGGGACTGTGGTCTGGTCGTGGTACACGTACAAGGCGTTCCGACCGTTGAGCAAATTCGTAAACCTCAGCGCCATATTCGAAGTCCAGCGGGGTGAAAATTCGGCTGATGTCGTGCAGCTGAGGGCTGGCCATCCCGTCACATGGTCGCAAAGGTACAATTTATTTTTGTCCGCACAATGTTATCACTTATTGGACATTCGATAGCAACCTCAATCACCGACGGTACGCGCAGAATGACGAGACCCTCTACATCGCGCCTGAAGATGACCGTACAGACTACGTAAGCACCCTCAGTCGAATTTCCTTGAATCGTTGATGAACATTATGTCTAGTCTCAGCCTCCTATGGCGAATTGGTATAGTGGTGTGCTAAAGTAAGTCGGTCTTGGCTATTCATCATGCAACTAACATCCGTCTAGTACAGGAAAGAGGAGATACGGGCACCCAGCCCTGAATGGCGTGTTACCTCATCCATGGTTCCCGCGGAAACGACCCAATGAGTTATCTGCACCACGTGCACCAGACGTCGGTACTGGACAGGATCGCGGATCAGGTGTCTTGGTGGCTCTTCGGAAGAAGCGTAGTCGTGCGCAAAGTGATATCGTGCCTTCTGCGGATACAACAATGCAGCATGAGGAGCACGCACAGGTATCTCAGGTGGACAGCTCCGTAGATGCTACAGCAAACCCGTGGAAGGATCTTCAACCAAGTGAGGTTCAAGGACATGGTCGGCTCCGTCATTGCGTGAGCTACGATCATGGCTCAGGGGTTATTGCTCTTCCCGAGGGTGACAGTTGGCTGACGGGCGGTGACGGGGACTCAGACGAATCTGATGAGAGTGGCACTCAGATAATGCAGGATTCGGAAGGGGCTGCAGAACCGAGCGGGCAAGCGAGAAGACACAGTGTGTATTATCATCATCCGGAGCGTAGAAGAAGTGTACAGCCCTTGTAGTCAGAAAATGCACTATATACTTATGGAGAAGGTTACACGGTAGGAGTTGTTGCGGGGATAGCATTTTGATAGCTAGTAGCGCACGTACGTCGTCAAATAGCCGTGTTGTTTCTTCCTCCAGCTGACGCGCGCCCATCATGCCTAAACTGCGGTGTACGCTGTTTCTAATTCCGGAAATCCCTGTCCATGGGTCCAGCTCCATGATCTGTACTATGTAGGTACTACTTTTTGGTCTGAAACTGCAGCTTGTTGCCACGACAAGCATTGCCGGGTCCTTGCAATGTAGCCAAGGTGTCTTATTGATACGGGGCTTCCGACCCCGGCTACAATGGCGCCTGAGCTTGCGAACGCCCTCTTGACCACATGTTCAGAAGTCCAATAGATCCGAAATGCGGAACACCCCACACCATGTCATGAAACTGGACGAACATCAGACGCGCGTCCCGAGGATCGCAGAAGTTTGTGAGTTTCAAACTTTACGAGCGCCTCATGAATACGTGAGCGCAAGTCAGGCGAGGACCTGATCAGTCAGGTTTTGGTGGCATGACCGACTCTCAAGTTGCAGTCCACGAGATGTGATATGGCAGACTTGGTTTGGGATAACAGGGTCAAAACAGAGCATGATTCGTGTTTGGAACAGCCGACGGCCGTGGTCAACGGTCAGATGAAACGCACGAGAACATGTACAGAACTACCGGTGTCAGGTTTCAAGGGAAATCTTTTAAATCGACGACGTCCGGGGTTCTTATAATGCTCTTCGTCGGGATCCGCACACCATTCTGTCGGTTCCACTCCTTGATCCTGTTGACATCCTTACACTTGTGCAAGGTGTTGAAGTCGGGAAAAGGAGCGTCTCTCCCTTCAACCCAGTGGTACGTAATCAACCCAGTGTCGGCAACGCACAATAATTGTTGACGAAGCATGTTGACACAGTGATCTGAAGAGGGGCTCAATTCAATGCCGCACTCGTGGATGCATAGTAAAGTACCTATGTGAAGTTGATCAGACGCAGGAATCTCTTCTTTGGTGCTATCAACCGCACAGTCAACGGCTCTGCGCAACCTGTCCTGGAGTGGGAACCAACCAAATGAATGCAGAGCATCGTCAGCCGGTGAGACTTACTAAGACTCGGAGAGTGCTAATGTACAAGACAGTGCATCTGGTGTATTATTTCCAGCGATGCCAGGTAGCCACCGCCAGATTCCTTGGGTAGCTGGACAAGTGATGGTGTTACTTCCTTGCCAAGTTCCGACAAGGTATCACCCGTGATTTGAAGTGGCAGCACTGTTTTACACATTTCCCTAAGCATCATTGAGTAAAACATTGCAGGGGACTAACTTGTAATAATTTTGCTCTCCCAATCCGTATCAAACTCTGCCTGCAGTTGAGAGGGAAAATGAAAAGTGCCATTGAAGGTGATGTCCATGTATTCTATGGCCTCTATTGCGGGTGCTGTGTTTTGCAGTTAACTTCAATTAGGATTTCAGTGGAAGGGGTACACACAATATGCTGATACTTGCTGCACACAGTGTTGGGAATCGCACCCACGACGTGACATCAGAAGCAGTAGAGCTGACAAGCATAAGAGTATGGCATATGCAAGCCATGGTAGAACAGAGAGCCATCTTTGACTTGTATGTAGAGTGTTTGAGTTGCCATAACCCCGATCCTCACCATCGTCAACAGTCTTGAGAGGTTGAAAGTGGCACGCGCCATGGCTGGCAGTGGAGTCAGGCTGTTTTTGTAAGGATTTTGTCACGAGTTGGTACAGCGTCTAGCTGTTTTTTAATTTTTTCCTTTCCGCGGGCTTGAACCTGCGACCTCTGTACTATACACTCAAACAGACATCTTGTTATCTACTGTACGATTAGATTAGATGGGCAGCAGTGTACAGCACAGCTCGGGCCCCGCTAACACAGCCGCTCTGACTCACCGGCCCCCAGGGCTACATCAGCATGCTATGCATGGACTAGCTGTGCATGGACCAGTGTACACAGCCTGCCTTATCTTCCCCTGTATATAAGCCTGCCTCCGCTGCCCTAGGGACCTCAGTTTTGACCTTTTGTCCCTAGGTCAGTAAGCCCCTGTACTTACTTACTTACCTTTACTAACTTATACATTTTCTTGTCCCTAGCCTTAGGTTTGAGCATAGCTCACCATTGCTTTGGTGAGACCCAGTCGAACACCCCCAGCCTTTGAGTTTGTTTGTTCCTTGTTGCTTGACACCAAGTCGCGACATTAGGTCGAAACTCCCTCTCGCTGCCAGCGTTCAAAACACAACACAACTTACTCTTTCACTTCCTACAGGTTGGGTGGTGCGCACCCCTACTGTACCCTATGATACGTAGATAGCCTACCATACATCGCCACCACTCAGGGAACAAACCTTTCAGCATCTGCACTTCAGTGGGCAGTGTTTGTCCTTAAACGGATGCGTGGACTAGGTTCCTGTTGCATACTAGCCAAAAGCAGTGGCTGCCTGTCAAGGCTTTATCCATGCCTTCGATTCAAAGGACCTTGTTAATGTCTACATCACCAATGGTCCCACTGCTCTCATTGTTGCCTGTGAGTAGCAGCCGTGCCCCAACCGAACACCTTGATTGATTGAGCAAGACTACAACCATTACAAAGCAATCCGAAGGGCCCAACATCTGCTCGGTCCTCATAGCAACCTTGCATCATGGTCCGCATCTCGGTATTCCCACCCTGTCTCCCCTAGCTCCTGCATACCCCAGCCTGTTGCCGGTCCAAGTCAAACACGAGGAGACACCGATCTCCCTACAGACCCTGTGCCAGAGCCAGAGCCTGTGGAGAGTGAAGAAGGAGTCTTGGAGCCCGAGTCTGCTGTTCTTAGTCGGGCCGCATCACCAACTGCACTCCCCTCCATGTCTGCAGTCCCTGACATACGTAGCTCTGCCGCCCCAGTTCCTTCAGTGCCTCCATCACTGTCGCCATCACGAGGCTGCTCTTCGCATCAGTCCTCATGAGGTTCGCCCGGTCAACAGCCACATGCACCGTCTCCATCCCCAAGCAGTTCTCCATCCCCCTTGCCGCCGATAATGTCCTCCCCAGTCGACAAGGAGGTATTGAAACTCCTCCCTCTCCACTATGATGGAAAAACGGTCATCGAATGCAACTGGTTCCTATCCCAGTTACACATATACTGGCAGGTCAACACGACACTTACAAGCATTGAGCTCAAAGTGCAGGTCGCCTTGAGCCTCCTTGATGGTGATGCTTGCACATGGGCCACCCCGCTCTTTGCCCAGCTCGTATCAGTTCAAATTGGTGCCCGTGGAGCCACAACACCCTTCACCAATGAAGCAGCCTTCGCCACAGCATTTCAGGCTCACTTCGGCAACCTCGATGATGAGACAGCGGCTCAGGTAGAACTTGCGAAACTCTGTGCTGACAAGTCAATGCATGAAAAGTGTACCGCTGCGGAGTTCTCTATGCTATTCAAGGGTCTGGCAGACCATTCTGGGTATGGTGACCTGGAATTCCGCGACAAGTACCTGAGTGGCATCCTTTCTCATGTCTACCGCAAAATCGAGCTCGAAACATTCACTACATGGGAAGACACTGACAAGTGCACCACGGCAGTCGACCAAATACTTGACATCAGCCGCGCCTGTCAGCCCGAGTTGAACCATTTCTTCTCAGCTCGAGGAGGCAGATGCAGAGGGACACGTGGTGGTCCCCCCGGTTGCAAAATGCTTTGGCCAGCATCAACGCAGCCGTCGGAAAAGGAGACTTCCCCAGCAGTTGCTTTGGCTGCGGGAAGCAAGGGTATCGTCATTTCAAGTGCCCCAACTGTAAGGACAAGTCTTACACAAAACGCGCCGACGCACGGGCTACGGTTGCCTCGGGTTCCACCCAGGCTGCGGCAAGCGCCCCTGTTGCTTCATCCTCGGCAAGTATAAGTGCCGCTTCAGCAAAATCTGAGCAATCAGAGCTGGTGGACTTAATGGCACAGGTGAAGTCGATGCGCGAGGAGCTTGAACACTATCAGGCAATGAAGGAGGAGGATTTTTGATCCAGTCCACGCTTCGTGCCGCACGCATCGGGCCGCGAGTATCATGTAATAAATACGATGTATTGTCTTCTGCAATGGTGTATGAATTGGACCATGGGTCCCAGCACTTTCACATTCTGGTTCGACTCAAGGGAAAAAGATGGCAAAAGAACATAATCGCTATGGTGGACAGCAGAGCCACCACAAAGTTTATCAATAAGTAATTCATCATAGAGAACAAGGTGCAGACACGAAGGTTGAAGGAACCCATTCCACTCTATAATATCGATGGCACCCTGAATAAAGATGGAGGCATCTCAGAAGTAGCCATGCTACAGATGCAGATAGGAGATCACGTTGAGAAGACAGTGTTTATGGTCACAGACATAGGTCCAGAGGATGTGATCATTGGGTTGGATTGGCTATGTGAGCACAACCCCGAAATTGATTGGGAGACAGGCTTGTTCAAGCTGTCATGATGCCCTGAAACGTGTGGCACCAGGAGGACTGGCCGAATGGAGCAAGCAGCGACTGTGCATGATACAGGGGTCAGGCCCACGGTGCGCAGGCATTCACCAAAGTCCAAATGGTCGGTCACCAGTGCCTGCTGGAGTAAGGTACTCCTGGACTTTGAGCCTGAGGAGGAGCCGGAAGAGATTGAATGAACCGAGGCCGACTTGATCGAGGTTTGGGAGCAAGGTATCACGCTTCCAGGTGCTGCTCAGCTGTTCATCGCTGCAGGACATACATACTCTCAGCTGTTCGCTGAGGAAGAGATCAAGGAGAAGGTCGTTAGAACTGCTGAGGAATCAGTACCAATCCAGTACCACGAGTTCCTGAATGTCTTCTCCAAGAAAGCATCAAAATGCCTACCCGAAAGAAAGCCGTACAATCACACGATTGAACTCGTGCTTGGCTATTTGACATTCCATTCGAAGGTGTACCCCTTGTCGAACAATGAGCAGGAGGAACTGGACAAGTTCCTAAAGGAGCAGCTGGCAAAAGGCTACATACAGGAGTTGAAGTCGCCCATTTCGTCCCCCTTCATCATCATCATCATCAAAAGGAAGGAAGGGACACTTTGACCAGTACAGGATTACCGCCGGTTGAACGCAATCACCATCAAGAATCGCTACCCACTGCCGCTAATCACCAAGATGGTAGACAAACTCCGTGGTGCTACGCTCTTCACAAAGTTTGACGTCAGATGGAACTACAACAACGTCCGGATCAAAGCCAGTGACGAGTGGAAGGCTGCCTTCATAACTAACCGGGGACTATACAAACCCCTGGTGATATTCTTCAGCCTCACTAACTCCCCCGCGACCTTCTTCCAGGCCATGATGAATGAGATCTTTCACGATCTCATCATCGGTGGCAAGGTCCTTGTATACTTAGATGACATACTTGTCTTCTTCACCAATAAGGAGGAGCATGAGAAGGTCACACATGAGGTTCTTTGTCGCCTTCAGGGGAACAATCTGTTCCTGAAGCCTGAGGAGTGTGAATGGGACGTTCCCAAGGTCGACTATGTCGGCTATGTGTTCGGTGGCGATGAGGTAGTGATGGATCCTGCAAAGCTTAAAGGAATCAATGAGTGGCCAGTACCCCGGAACAAAAAGGATGTTCAGAAGTTCTGGGGGTTCTCCAACTTCTACCATCGCTTCATTTTGTTAAGATTTCAACTTGACTGACTCACAGGGAATGTCACGAGTTGACATGGCGTCTAGCCGTTTTTTAATTTTTTCCTTTTCGCGGGCTCAAACCCGCGACCTCTGTACCATATGCTCAAACGGACAAGTCCTTATCTACTGTACAATTAGATTAGATGGGGCGGCAGTGCACGGCACAACCCGGGCGCCACCTACACAGCCACGCTGACTCACCAGCCCCTGGGGCTGCATCAGCAACACTGTACACAGACCAGCTGTGCACGGACCAACATAGACAGCCTGCCCTAAATCCCCCATGTATATAAACCAGCCTCTGCTGCCCTAGGGACCTCAGTTTCGACCTCTTGTCCCTAGGTCAGTAAGCCCCTGTACTTACTTACTTTCCTATGCTAATTAACTTGTCCCTAGCATTGCTCACCATCACTTCAGTGAGACCCAGTCGAACGCCCCCAGCCTTTTGCATTTGTTTGTCCTTGTCGCTTGACCCCAAGTCGCGACATTAGGTCGAAACTCCCCCTCGCTGCCGGCATTCACACGCAACTCATTCACTCTCTTCACTTCCTACAGGTTGGGTGGTGCGCACCCCTACTGTACCCTATGATACGTAGATAGCCTACCATACATCGCCACCACTCAGGGAACAAACCTTTCAGCACCTGCACTTCAGTGGGCAGTGTTTGTCCTTAAACGGATGTGTGGACTAGGTTCCTGTTGCATACTAGCCAAAAGCAGTACTGGGCCCCACGTGAACTGCGAACCTCAGTGTTATCTCAGGTGCCGTAGGTGTAAGCTAGCTAGTACGGCCTTTCATAGCACACGCACCTCCCCTTCCTTCCCCCATCACCGTGGCTGATGAATTCTTCGACTGCTCTCAACTCGAGCACACATTTGACACCCAGGAGCAAATCGACGTCTCCCGCGACGACCCAGAGAGTGACAGATCCAGAGCTCCATTCTTCATTTGTGATCGACAACCGTGCCCTAATCGCATTCCATGGTCCATCACTGCTGATGAAGGACGCTACATGCCAATAAGGCAAGTTCAGCATCCCAGTGGCCCCGCACTTCGGTACACTGGCATATCGAGATCTACCTCTCGCCACGTCACTCCCGTCCCATCCCGACCCTCATCCCCAGGCACCCACATTCCCCAACCTGTCACCAGTACAGGTCAAGCGCGAGGAGATCCCGATCTCCCTTGAGGAGCTGAGGCAGTCGCAAAGCCTGCAGTGACCCCTCAAATGCTCCCCCAGTCCTCCTTGGGGCCACGGTTGGAAAGGAACCCGATGTCGCGACTTGAGGTCAAGCGACAGGGGAAAACCTAAGAAAGCTGGGGGCGTTCAACTGGTTCTCACCAAAGCGATGGTAAGCAATGCTCAAACCTAAGGCTAGGGACAAGAATATATTAGTTAGTGAGGAAAAGGAAGTAAGTACATGAGAGCTTACTGACCTAGGGACAAGAGGTCGAAACTGAGGTCCCTAGGGCAGCAGAGGCTGGCTTATATACAGGGGGAGATAAGGGCAGGCTGTGCGCGTTGGTCCATGTGCAGCTGGTCTGTGCGCAGCATGCTGACGCGGCCCCGGGGGCCGGTGAGTCACAGCGGCTGTGTCAGCGGGGCCCGAGCTGTGCCGTGCACTGCCGCCTTATCTAATCTAATTGTACAGTAGATAGCGATGCGTCCATATCAGGCGTGTAGTACAGAGGTCGTGGGTTCGAGCCCGCGAAAAGGAAAAAATTAAATAACGGCTAGGCGCTGTGCCAACTCGTGACACCCGAAGCCTGAGCCCCGCGACAGTCCAGCGGTTACTTGGGCCAGCTCGTCGTCAGCAGCCTCCTCCTCGACTCCAGTCCCTGTTGTACATCACCCCGCCACCGGATTTCCTCCGTCGCCTCCACCACTGTCGTTGCCGCGAGGCCGCTTAAGCACTCGCTCCTCCCGAAGTTCACCCGGCGGACAGTCACAACAGCCACCTTCGCCCACGGGCAGTCCTTCGTCCCCCTCGTCGCCGGTAATGTCGTCCCCAGTGTCCACTCCCGACAAGGAGACACTGAGGCTCCTACTCCCCCTACAATACAATGGAAAAACCGTCATTGAGTGTGACCAGTTCCTATCCCAACTCCGTAGATATTGGCTGGTCAACACGTCGTTGATGACCATTGAGCTCAAGGTGCAGGTTGCTCTAAGCCTCCTCGACAGCGACACCCGTACCTGGGCCACTCCCTTCTTTGCCCAACTTGTGTCAGTACAGCTAGGTGTCCAAGGAGTCACGACCCCGTTCGCAAATGAGGCTGCCTTTGCTACCGCGCTCAAAGCCCGCTTTGGCAACCTAGACGATGAAGCTGCAGCCCAGGTAGAACTGGCAAAGCTCTGTGCGGACAAGTCAGTCCGCGAAAAATGCACTGTCGCGGAGTTCTCTGCACTATTCAAGGGTCCGGCAGACCATTCCGGGTATGGAGACCTGGAACTCTGCGACAAGTACCTAAGCGGCATCCTGTCGCGACTTGAGGTCAAGCGACAGGGGAAAACCTAAAAGCTGGGGGCGTCCAACTAGATCTCACCGAAGCGATGGTGAGCAATGCTCAAACCTAAGGCTAGGGACAAGTAAATGTATTGGTTAGTAGGGTAAGAAAGAATACAAATGAGGGCTTACTGACCTAGGGACAAGAGGTCGAAACTGAGGTCCCTAGGGCAGCAGAGGCCGGCTTATATACAGGGGGAGTTTAGGGGAGGCTGTGCGCACTGGTCCGTGCACAGCTGGTCCATGCGCAGCATGCTGACGCGGCCCCGGGGGCCGGTGAGTCAGAGAGGCTGTGTCAGCGGAGCCCGAGCTGTGCCGCGCACTGCCACCCCATCTAATCTAATCATACAGTAGATAACGACGCGTCCATATCTGGTATGTAGTACAAAGGTCGCGGGTTCGAGCCCGCGAAAAGGAAAAATTAAAAACGGCTAGACGCCGTACCAACTCGTGACATTACCCCCCCTCAACGCGCATGACCT